AACGAGGCACTAAACTACAGACCTGTGTCTCTGACATGTATTGTGTGCAAAGTCATGGAGAAGATTATCAGGAGGAGAGTGGTCGAACACCTGGAAAGGAACAAGATTATAAATGAAAACCAGCATGGGTTCATGGAAGGCAAATCTTGTATCACAAACCTCCTGGAGTTTTATGACAAGGTAACAGAAGTAAGACACGAGAGAGAGGGTTGGGTAGATTGCGTTTTCCTAGACTGCAGGAAGGCCTTTGACACAGTTCCCCACAAGAGATTAGTGCAGAAGCTGGAGGATCAGGCACACGTAAAAGGAAGGGCACTGCAATGGATAAGGGAATACCTGACAGGGAGGCAGCAACGAGTCATGGTACGTGAAGAGGTATCACAGTGGGCGCCTGTTACGAGCGGGGTCCCACAGGGGTCAGTTCTAGGACCAGTGCTATTTTTGATATATGTGAACGACATGATGGAAGGAATAGACTCTGAAGTGTCCCTGTTCGCAGATGACGTGAAGTTGATGAGAAGAATAAAATCGGACGAGGATGAGGCAGGACTGCAAAGAGACCTGGAGAGGCTGGACATGTGGTCCAGTAACTGGCTCCTCGAATTCAATCCAGCCAAATGCAAAGTCATGAAGATTGGGGAGGGGCAAAGAAGACCGCAGACAGAATATAGGCTAGGTGGACAAAGACTACAGACCTCACTCAGGGAGAAAGACCTTGGGGTGACCATAACACCGAGTACATCACCGGAGGCACACATCAACCAAATAACCGCTGCAGCATACGGGCGCCTGGCAAACCTGAGAATAGCGTTCCGATACCTCAATAAGGAATCGTTCAAGACACTGTACACTGTGTATGTTAGGCCCATACTGGAGTATGCAGCACCAGTCTGGAACCCACACCTGGTCAAGCATGTCAAGAAGTTAGAGAAAGTACAAAGGTTTGCAACAAGGCTAGTCCCAGAGCTCAAGGGAATGTCGTACGAGGAAAGGTTAAGGGAAATCGGACTGACGACACTGGAGGACAGAAGGGTCAGGGGAGACATGATAACGACATACAAGATACTGCGGGGAATAGACAAGGTGGACAGAGATAGGATGTTCCAGAGAGGGGACACAGGGACAAGGGGTCACAACTGGAAGCTGAAGACTCAGACGAGTCACAGGGACGTTAGGAAGTATTTCTTCAGTCATAGAGTTGTCAGCAAGTGGAATAGCCTAGCAAGTGAAGTAGTGGAGGCAGGAACCATACATAGTTTTAAGAAGAGGTATGACAAAGCTCAGGAAGCAGAGAGAGAGAGGATCCAGTAGCGATCAGTGAAGAGGCGGGGCCAGGAGCTGAGTCTCGACCCCTGCAACCACAATTAGGTGAGTACAATTAGGTGAGTACACACACACACACACACACACACACACACAGAAAAGAGGCACTAAACTATAGACCTGTGTCATTGACGTGTATAGTATGCAAAATTATGGAGAAGATTATCAGGAGGAGAGTGGTGGAGCACCTGGAACGGAACAGGAGTATAAATGCCAACCAGCACGGATTCACGGAAGGCAAATCCTGTGTCACAAACCTTCTGGAGTTTTATGATAAAATAACAGAAGTAAGACAAGAGAGAGAGGGGTGGGTTGATTGCATCTTCTTGGACTGCAAGAAGGCCTTTGACACAGTTCCTCACAAGAGATTAGTGCAGAAGCTAGAGCATCAGGCGCATATAACAGGAAGGGCACTGCAATGGATCAGAGAATACCTGACAGGGAGGCAACAACGAGTCATGGTACGTAATGATGTATCACAGTGGGCACCTGTGACGAGCGGGGTCCCACAGGGGTCGGTCCTAGGACCAGTGCTATTTTTGGTATATGTGAACGACATGACGGAAGGGTTAGACTCAGAAGTGTCCCTGTTTGCAGATGATGTGAAGTTAATGAGGAGAATTAAATCTGATGAGGACCAGGCAGGACTTCAAAGAGACCTGGACAGATTGGACACCTGGTCCAGCAAATGGCTTCTCGAATTTAATCCTGCCAAATGCAAAGTCATGAAGATAGGGGAAGGGCATAGAAGACCACAGACAGAGTATAGGCTAGGTGGCCAAAGACTGCAAACCTCACTCAAGGAGAAAGATCTTGGGGTGAGTATAACACCGAGCATGTCTCCGGAAGCACACATCAATCAGATAACTGCTGCAGCATATGGGCGCCTGGCAAACCTGAGAACAGCATTCCGATACCTTAGTAAGGAATCATTCAAGACACTGTACACCGTGTATGTCAGGCCCATACTGGAGTATGCAGCACCTGTTTGGAACCCGCACTTGATAAAGCACGTAAAGAAACTAGAGAAAGTACAAAGGTTTGCGACAAGGTTAGTTCCAGAGCTAAGGGGAATGTCCTATGAAGAAAGATTAAGGGAAATCGGCCTGACGATACTGGAGGACAGGAGGGTCAGGGGAGACATGATAACGACATATAAAATACTGCGTGGAATAGACAAGGTGGACAAAGACAGGATGTTCCAGGGAGGGGACACAGAAACAAGAGGCCACAATTGGAAGTTGAAGACACAAATGAGTCAGAGAGATAGTAGGAAGTATTTCATCAGTCATAGAGTTGTAAGGCAGTGGAATAGCCTAGAAAATGACGTAGTGGAGGCAGGAACCATACACAGTTTTAAGACGAGGTTTGATAAAGCTCATGGAGCGGGGAGAGAGAGGGCCTAGTAGCAACCGGTGAAGAGGCGGGGCCAGGAGCTAGGACTCGACCCCTGCAACCACAAATAGGTGAGTACACCTGTGACCAGCGGGGTCCCACAGGGGTCAGTCCTAGGACCAGTGCTGTTTCTGGTATTTGTGAACGACATGACGGAAGGAATAGACTCTGAGGTGTCCCTGTTTGCAGATGACGTGAAGTTGATGAGAAGAATTCACTCGATCGAAGACCAGGGAGAACTACAAAGGGATCTGGACAGGCTGCAGACCTGGTCCAGCAATTGGCTCCTAGAGTTCAATCCCACCAAGTGCAAAGTCATGAAGATTGGGGAAGAGCAAAGAAGACCGCAGACGGAGTACAGTCTAGGGGGCCAGAGACTACAAACCTCACTCAAGGAAAAAGATCTTGGGGTGAGTATAACACCAGGCACATCTGAAGAGCATATTAACCAAATAACGGCTGCAGCATATGGGTGCCTAGCAAACCTCAGAACAGCATTCCGACATCTTAATAAGGAATCGTTCAGGACCCTGTACACCGTGAACAGGGTACTGAACGATATTGGAGTATGCGGCACCAGTTTGAAACCCATATTGGAGTATGCGGCACCAGTTTGAAACCCACACCTAGCCAAGCACGTAAAGAAACTAGAGAAAGTGCAAAGGTTTGCAAGAAGACTAGTCCCAGAGCTAAGAGGTATGTCCTACGAGGAGAGGTTAAGGGAAATCAACCTGACGACACTGGAGGACAGGAGAGATAGGGGGGACATGATAACGGCATACAAAATACTGAGAGGAATTGACAAGGTGAACAAAGACAGGATGTTCCAGAGATTGGACACAGTAACGAGGGGACACAGTTGGAAGTTGAAGACACAGATGAATCACAGGGATGTTAGGAAGTATTTCTTCAGCCACAGAGTAGTCAGTAAGTGGAATAGTTTGGGAAGCGATGTAGTGGAGGCAGGTTCCATACATAGCTTTAAGCAGAGGTATGATAAAGCTCACGGTTCAGGGAGAGTGACCTAGTAGCGATAAGTGAAGAGGCGGGGCCAGGAGCTCGGACTCGACCCCTGCAACCTCAACTAGGTGAGTACAGCTAGGTGAGTACACACACACACACACACACAGCATTTTTCCTGAGAGGAAAGAAACTGAGAATAAGACAAAGAAAAGTACCTCGGGGTTGGACATCACGTCTCACCTCTGCCCCCGAGGCTCTCATGAACCTGAGAACATCAGCGGTATATACTCGACTTGCTAAATGTAGGACATCCTTTCAGGAACTTTGAACAAGGTTCAGAGACTTCTAACCAAACTAGTTTCAGCGCTTAACATTTTCCCCTTCCCACGTATCCATTATTAATGTAAATACAAAGATATTTTTATGGGACAAAGCCTACGATGAAAGATTAAAGAAGCTAATTCTTTGGTGACTAAGAATTAGGTGTTGCCTAGACGGGAAAGTTTGTTGGACAGCATCAGTCGTTCTGTGAATTAACATGCCGCTGTAATGAAAGCACATTACAAACAGAATGGCTGACATACCATTGGCAATATCAACTCCATTTTCAATTTTGTTCATTATACATCTATAGTACTTTCTCTACAGATGTCTAAGCCATTACAAAGTACCATTATCTAATTGCAACATACACTATATAATTTTGTAAAACGATACTTATCTTAGTTACAACGTGTTTGCACTGTTCATATGTGTCTACAATGTTAATTCTAGACTTGCAGTTTCATATATTTTAAAATAAAATGGCGGAGAGTGTGTGTATCCTCCTCTCGACTCACATTACGATAACTTTCCTCTGTTGTTGCAACATTAACCTGTCACGTACAGGCAACCATAATGAATCCTAGTAACCACCCTCTCTTTAATCTATTTCCACAATTCTTTCCATGGTCATAAGCTTTAATGCAACCTGGCAACAATATGGTAGTGCTGCATAGATTCTCGACTGACTCACACATTCTCTCACGGATCTTATCCACTAGTTTTTTCACCCGAATTTTCTTTGTAATCTACGATGCCTATAAAAATTTCTATACTGAATTTTCTTGTGTTTCTATTGCTGCAACTGAAGGAGAAAATTTTTGTCACTACATCCAGGGTGAAGAGCTAAAGCTGCAAGAGTTATGCAGCTTCTGGGAAATGGGAGGAAATCAGGAAGTGTAGTTCTAATTCCTTCAAACAAAAGCCCTTCACCAGCATCAACGCACCTTTTTTGAAGGGTGCTGGAGTAATACGTTAGAGAACACAGTCTCGACATTATGATGTTCAATGGAATTAATGCAGTATTAGTTGTTATGGGTCCAGTATTAACTGTAATAGTGCCAGAATTAGTTATCATGATGCTAGCATTTCCTATTATGGTGTTGACATCGGCTGTTGTGAGGCTCTTAAATAAATTTTTTATCTGTGAAATCCTCATAATCAGTGAATAAGTATCAATTCGTTTACAATTTGTTCACGCGTTGCTTTTTATATTTATTTACTTGATAAGATATATTCACAATTTATTAATTCATTCAACAGAGCTAGTGGTCGTTGCAGTGACAGAAGGCAGCGAGACGAACGAAGAGGTTCAACTGAGTGCCTCTCAGTTTTCAAATAACGAGAAAGATGGCATAGGACCTGCTGTAGATGTCAACGAAGACAATGGTGGTGAACCGCTTCATGACCTTGCGACCTCAACATCTCCAGAATCCAGCGACGAAAGAAACGATGCTACAGAGTCAGCCTCTGAGGTCGTTGGAAAAAGTAAAAATTCTAATCAGTTTCGGCCAGAGGATTTACATGACAACGGAGCGATGGCGAACAGAGACTCGGATAGAAAAGGAAGAAAAATCATACCAACAGATTGGGAAGAAGGGAAAGATGTTGATAGCCTGTGGTACAGTGATAATTTATCCCCGTCACACACTATTAATCGTTTTATTGACGACTTTATTAGGAACTCTAGTAGCCAGAACGTAACAACGACCAGGACAACTGGTGTGAGGGACTCGACAATCTCCCGGAGATATTTAAGTCCCTCTGACTCGAACTTCACGACGCGAGTGACGACTGGTCAGTGCGGTGGGGTTATCGCTGTTACTAACAAATACCAAACCATTACTACTCCAAATTACCCTGACAACTACCCAGAAAACTCTTTGTGCATTTGGAATATTTATTCTCGTACAGAAAAGGATTATGATCAGATCCTGATATGGATTCAAGATTTCGAACTGGAAGGTAGTGACTGTAGCGGCGACTCCCTCAAGATCACAGACGTCACAGTGCGAAAAACAGCAATTTTCTGCGGCGAGAAATCCAGAAGACCTCTATTTTCAATGGGCAATTCTCTGAAGCTTACATTTACGAGTGACAATGCAGGCAGCAGAAGAGGGTTCACAATCGGAATAAAAGGCATTTATTCAACTTGTGGCGTTATTCACAACACGATAGGTAACGAACCTCTGGTTCTCTCTACTCCTAATTTCCCACAGGCATTCCCAGAAGAAACGCGCTGCCATTGGCTCATAGTATCAAAGGGAGAAATGGCATTAAGATTGATGCATGACTATAGCGACAACGGAAGCCATGATTCGTTGTTCATCTCTACAGATTTTTTAAACAAGTATGACAAGTACAATCTGCAAAGAATCTATGTATCGAATGTGTTTTCTATAATTTTTGTTGCCAAACTGTTGTTAGAGAAAAGTCAACAGCATCTGGGGTTACAATTTCAATTGCTACCAACAACAACAACTCAGTCTTGTGATCAAACTTTAACAGTAACTGCTAATTCAACAGTTGTTATCAACTCCAGCAGATATCCAAGTGGATACGACCCATCAACTAACTGTCAGTGGACTATCAAATACGACACAAATAATCATTATATGTCAAGTCTCCGCTTTATAGACTTTGACGTTGAGAACCACATTAATTGTCGCTATGACTCCTTACAGATCATCGATGAAATGAGGGGCTTTAGCAAGACCTATTGTGGAAAAGAGAAAAATTTCGAGTACTTTACTGAAAGCAAGATACTGAAACTCCATTTTAAGAGTGACTCACGTGATATTTACTTCCATAAAGGCTTTTCACTATACGCCTCCGCAGAGAGGATAAGGAGAGACGAGTGTGTAGTCACAAGGCCTGAAAGCGACACTTGGATAATAAAATCCCCAGTGTATAAACAAGTCAGTCCAGCTTTCACTGTCTGTAGCATCACCATCAGAAGCACCACATCACTCAGATTTAGTGTCCGCTTTGATAAATTCAGTCTCCAAAAAAGTGATCCGTGTAACAAGGGTAACTACTTGTCTATAGAGGACGTGGATATCAACACAACGGAGTTGTTCTGTGGTGGGATGGGTGGACATAAGTTCACCACTGCTGGAAATGCCATCAAGTTATTCTATTCGTCTGAGAGTAAAAATAGCGCAGAAGGCTTTAACATAGAAATAAAATCACTCTTTGATTCTGACTGCGGGGGGAGCTACAAGCTCAGACCTGGAGAGAGTAAAGAATTGAATGCTCATTCCTTCATAAAGCTGGAGAAGGAATGTGTTTGGGTTATTCAGGGAATAAACGGGATTCTCGTTCTTGACTTTGAGCAAGTGGAGAATGTACGAGTGTCACTGACTGGCCTCCGTAGAGATCTTTATAATTACAACTCCAGAACGATTCACTTCCTCGAGCCTTCTAATAAATATATGATACTCGCCAAGGAGAATAATGTAAAGTTTCAAGCCACAGCTTATACCACATTTTCACATTGTGAATCTACCCTTAGTCTCAGAAATACACCTGTAATACTAAATAATTTAGGTAACTCATACTGTTCTCAGGTGGTGAGCTTCTCCAGCAATGACAGAGACGTTCTTTTTGCAATTCAATACACCTTGCTCTCCTCAACACATTCCTCGCCCTGCCCTTTAGAGGTAGTCGACGCAGAGACTGGCACCAAGAGGAAAGTTTGTAACAAAGACTGGAAGAAAACATTTACAGTATTAAGCGAGAAACTGTACATAACTCCCGCTATACCAGAATATGATATCTCAAGTAAGTTCATGCTTCTTCTAAAGCCAGTCAAATTTACCTGTGGGGATACCTACGAAGTAAAAAATAAAATAATCTTGAGAAGCAAAAATATGGAAGTGAGAGAGACTTGTGTTTACAAATTAACAAGCGAACGTCATAGGATTGCATTAGATGTAGCCACGGAAAGCAAGGAAGCTCTTACCTACATTAGCGTATCCACCGACGGGTCCTTCTACAACTTAAAGGAGCTATCCTCTGCAACTACAACCTCGTTGGTAACGACGAAAGAATTCTTAGTTGTCGTTAAACCGTTTCCAAGAAGTGTGAGTTTCGTGTTACAGGCTATAAGAGAGTCTCCGGTAACTTCATCTTGTAACACCTGCGTGATCGTCGAGCCAGGCAGTGAAGGGATTATAAAGTCACCCAGTTCCCCTAACCTCAACACTTACCCTTCTGGATTATTCTGTAGCGTTAAATTTGAATCCGAAAATAAAAATAGAAGTGTTATTTTGGAAATTGAATACCTGGATCTTCCTACAAATACGTCTTTAGATTCATTGTTTCTAGTGAAGGATGGCATCTGGAGTGCTATTGATGCTTCACGTCTGCCTATCTTGAATCAAAATTTGATCCTTGAAACTCCCTTCTTTCTGCAGTTCAGAACCTTGACCAATAATAAACATAAAGGATACAGAATACGATACAAGGTCAACGAGTGTGGCGGAGTAGTAACATTAAATAATAACACAGCAGTAACGCTGCAGTCTCCTGGTTACGGTGACGTGTACCCAACATACATCCAATGTGTGTGGCTCTTCAACACAAATATAACAAATATAAGTGATAGGATTAAACTGAAAATCGTTGAGTTTGATCTACATGAATCGGATTCATTTGAAGTGTTTGATCCACTGTATTCTAAAGTTCCTGTTGCAATATTCAGAGGTTCAGCAGCTAATCAAGGAATAAGAAGTGTTGGAAGCCAGTTGAAGGTAGTGTTTACATCTGATTCTCGCTACGTAAGTTCTGGGTTCGTTTTCAGAGTTCGAGCAGTCGTCTCGGGCTGCGGTGGCGACATTGACACAAGTATCAAGGAAGAAGGGACAATTACAACTTTGGATGCTTTCCCAAACACTGACTATTGTTTATTCCGTCTACGACCCAGCCAGGGACGTGTGATGACTCTCACTCCCCTGAAGACATCTAACAACAGACAAGAACGTGAACACTTACCACGTAAAAGTCTCAGGTTACCAGAGGAACCTGAACTTGTAAGGGATAACAAGTGTCATGTGGGTAGTGTAGTAATATCTACTACTGGGTTCCTCAGAGATGGTCAGAGATTCTGCGTAGGCGATCCTGTTGCAGCCATCTCGTCCACACAAGACGTGTTGGTGGTAGTAAAAGCTCCTCCTCTACCTCCTGTGGAATTCCTCTATCACACAGGAAGTTGTGGGGGAGAGCTAGCAGGTGACAAAGGATTAATGGGCTTTTTATCATCTCCGAATTTTCCTGATATGTTCACCGGACCTGTCACCTGTACTTGGACATCTAGTGGTCCTCTTCTGATTACACTTACGTACCTGGATATTCAGCCGAGTATGGATTCCCTTATCTTTGCGGATCACAAACGTGTTATTACCCTGACTTCGTCCCAGATTCCACGCTACTTACAACTTGACGGTCCTGCTACAATCATCTTCTCCGGCAATAGTATTGGCGTCAAGACTGGGTTTCACCTGCAGTACGAAAGTGTAGAAGTCAATGGCGTATGGGATGTAGGGGTGAGCGCTCCTGTAATTCTTCTAGGCTGGCAAGGGGCCCAAACAAGGCCCTCAGTGTGGAAAGTGAGGGCTCCCATTGGCTCTAAAGGCCTCACGCTGCGACTCTGGGCTGCATACATTCCCAACAACCCACAATGCAAGGAAAGCTTTCTCCTTGTGTACGGGGAGGCGGACATGGCTCAGAGGCTGTGCGGTGGGCTGGCTATGAACACCTTGCATTTTGTGGGTCGTGACATGGTTCTCAGCTTGCAATCTTCCTCCCCACTAGCTGCTTTCATCGCTTCAGTACACCTCAGTACCTGATATGTGTTTACTCTCTTACAACTATTTATTTCGTATGGCGTTTTTTTTTCAGAATCGAACGTTTAGTTGTCTAATTTCTAAGGCTCGAACGTTAGTTCGCTTTATTTCTCAGGATTTAATATTTGAATGGATGACATCTTGCCTGTAGTTAGTGTCGCTTAATGTGATTATGATTTACAATTCCAAATTAGTAATGTGTTTTACTTACTAAAGGGTTATGCTCACGCTGTATGTATGCCAGTTAATATATAATGAATAAATTTAACTATTTATACTGAAGGCCAACGCTCTACCAGTGGAACACAAAGAGTGATAAGTAGTTAGAGAACTGAAGCTACTCTAAACACTTTTAATAATGGTAAATCTAGTTTTGTCTCTCCTAAAACACTGAGGTTTGCTTTCTAAGGCACTTAGAAGAGACATGGCAAGATTTGCCGTTGGTAGCATATAGAGTGGAGTAGTACCTCCTTAAAAGCTGTGTTTAGAGTTGAAGAAGTGGCAGACACAATTTTTATATATATTTCCTTGCTCGGGTGTTGCCACTCTCCGTGTTTTCAGCACTCTCCGTGTTTCCAGTACTCTCTGTGTTTCCAGTACTCTCTGTGTTTCCAGCACTCTGTGTTTCCAGCACTCTGTTTCCAGCGCTCTGTGGTCCAGTGGAAGAGTGTTGGGATGGTGTTATGAGGAATGCCAGCACCCAATATTTGATATTCAATAAGTTTTCTCTTGTACATACATATGCTAAACACAAATATATAAAAACATTGTTACTAAGTCGTATTGAAGGAGGATACAGAATAATAATCATCTGATTCTTAAATCTCGATTCATTTTAGGATATAAAATAATTAACTTTTGTTTATAAAAGTGGAGTACAAAACCCTAAACAGAAAATTTTATGATGTCATACTGAAGTTTATATTTTACTTTGTCAAGATATCACTATAATGCATTTGTGTC